CGCGTCCTGGCTGGCCAACAGGCTCCGTTCCCAGATCCGGTGCATGGCAGTGTCAGCACTGTCACTCACTGCAGGGTCTGACGTCAGAGCTGGGTGCCCTGCGTCACTGGGGCGTGATTGTAGCAGGCACTTCCGCTCCAGAGCCTTCACCAGCCTATGGAGGCCTGGTCCTAGGCCTTGTGCCTAGAAACGCCCTGTGCCCTGTGGCCAGCCAGCGTGGGGCCTCCCAAGGGAGCTTTTCCTTGACTGGTGCCCGCCAGGGCTCTGTGCCCAGCATCTGTGCCCAGTGTAGTAACCACCAACCACAGACAAATGTAAGGTTGGTCTGTTCTTTCTTGTGTCCGTGCTGAGGCTTGAACTTAGGGCGTAGGTGCTGTCCCTGAGCTTTTTCACTCAAGGTTGGCATTAGGCCACTTGTGCCACATCTCCACTTCCAGCTTTTTGGTGGCTCATTGGAGATAAGAGTCTCAAGGACTTTCCTGTCCGGGCTGGCTTCAAACCATGATCCTCACCACCTACAGAGTCCATAGGATTATAGGCATGAGCCATAGCACTCAGCCACATCAGGTGTTGGTTTTTTATCCGTGGTGGGACTTGAACTCTGGGCCTGGACACTGTCCCTCAACTCTTCAGCTCAAGGCTAGTGCTCTACCACTTGAGCCACAGCGCCACTTCTGACCTTTTCTGTTTATGTGGAGCTGAGGAATTGAACCCAGGACCTCATGCATATGGGGTAAGCACTCTACCACTGAGCCACCTTCCCAGCCCAGGTTTGGTTTTTGTTTTGTTTTGTTTTTGCCAGTCCTGGGGTTTGAACTCAGGACCTGGGTTCTGTCCCTGATCCTCTCTGTGCTCAAAGCTAGTGCTCTACCACTTGAACCACAGCTCCACTCCTGGCTTTTTCTGTTTATGTGGTACTGAGGAATCGAACCCAGAGCTTCATGCATGCTAGGCAAGCAACACTATACTATTAAGCCACATTCTAAGCCCCTGACATCATGCTTTTTTAATGTGGCAGACCCAAGACCCAGCCCATGGCTCCTCTGAGCTTTTGGCTAAGTGAATGGAGAGAGGACAAAGCCACAGGGCTGATGACTCACACCTAGTGACTTCCCAGGAACTCCAGAAGAAGAAGGCTGGGCCTGCCTGCCGCCTTGCCTGGGTCTGTGGGGGTGGGGGCTGTCAGGGAGGGGCATGGGGAGGATCCAACCATTCCCTGAACTGCAGGTGAGCCGTGTAATTACTGTACAGCCTGTGGGTTAGCCACAGGGTAGTCCGGCTGAACAGCTGGTCTGAGAATCTGAGAGGAAAGCCCTGGAGCAATGGTAACACTCAGGAGAGGAGGCCAGACAGAGCCTGGTGGGCGGGGGACCCTGCTGGGGGACCGGAGAGTCAGGGTAGTGCTAAGAGCAGCAGACTCCTCCCCCCACCCCACCCACTGTACAAAGGCAATATCAGTTTGCCGGTATTTCTGAGCTGGCAATTTTGGAGATGAGAAAGCTGGGAGTAGAGGGCTGGGAACATAGCTTAGTGGTAGAGTGCTTGGAACCCTGGGTTCCATTCCCCAGTGCCATATACACAGAAGAAGCCACAAGTGGCACTGTGGTTCAAGTGGTAGAGTGCTAGCCTTGAGCAAAAGAAGCTCAGTAATAGTGCCCAGGTCCTAAGTTCAAACCCCAAGAATGGCCCCCAAAAAAGGAGTAGATAAAGATGAACCCAGCCAGGTGCTGGTGGCTCACACCTGTAATCCCAGCTACTCAGGAGGCCGGAGATCTGAGGATTTCGGTTCAAAGCCAGCTCAGGCAGAAAAGTCCATGAGACTCTTATCTCCAAGAAACCACCAGAAAACTGGAAGTGGCACTGTGGCTCAAGTGGTAGAGCACTTGCCTTGAGCTGAAGAGCTGAGGGACAGCGCCCAGGCCCAGAGTTCAAGCCCCATGTCCAACAGAAAGAAAAGAAAAAGATAAACCCACAGTGAGTGTTCTTTTCTGTTTGTTTAATTGTGTTTTTGGCAGGGAAGTCAAATCATACTGTTGAGAGGATTAGAGGTGAGGAGGGACCAAAAAAAGCACCGGAGTGAAATCAGCCATGAGTAAGCAAGCTACGATCTCCTGCCCTCCTCATTGTTGCTGGGAAAAAAAGCACAGAATGTACCAAGTGCTTGCCATCCGAGCTACTCAGGAAAGTGGAGATGTGGAAGATCCAAGTTCAAAGCCAGCCCTCGGCAGGAAAAATCCCTTTTGATTAGCCAGCCAAAAGCCAAAAATGGAGCCATGGCTCAAGTGGTAGAGCACCAGCCTTGAATAACAACAACAAAATGCTATGAGACAATGCACAGACCTCGAGTTCAAGCCCCAGGACTGACACAGAAGGAAGAAAAGTAGGATGAAGGATGTGATCTGTGCTGAGGTCACAGATTTGTAGTTGGTGGCCTTGAGGATGTACAGGAAACATCCAAGGGCCAGGGCCTGGGGGGTCACTGTTGTCTGTTTATCAAAGAGATGAGGGAGGGCAGGGCCACACATTTCTACAGACAGGCTTTCGGGTACATGGAACAGCGTTTAGACGAGAACCGAGAACCGTTGTCACACAGGCGGAAGTGGGTGCCAGAAAAAGACCTATCAAAGCAAGTTTAGGTCTTGGAGCTGAGACAAAACTTTTTTTTTTTTTTCAGTTGCTTATAGAGCTTTAACTCAGGGCCTGGGTCCTGTCCCTGAGCTTTGTTGTTGTTGTTGTTCAAAACTAGCGCTCTACCATTTTGAGCCACAGCTCTACTTCCAGGTTTTTGGTGGTTCAGTGGAGATCAGAGTCTCCCAGACTTTCCCCGCCGGGGCTGGCTTTGAACCTTGATCCTCAGATCTCAGCCTCTTGAGTGTCTGGGATTCCAGGGGTGAGCCATGTGGCGCTGGCGCTAGGCTCTTATTTATTTATTTTTTTGTAAGCTAGCATTAACATTGTTTTTTCCTGGGAGTCTTCAGTCACCTCTAAGTGTCTATTTGTTTATTTAATCTTGTTCTTTTGCTTACAAATATCTGCTCCTCTGGCTGTGCCTACTTGGGTGTGAAAGCTTCTTGGAAACACTTATCTTCCTTGCTGGGAATGAGATGTTCGGTTGGGAGCCCTGGGAATTAGATTTCCTTCCCAGCTCACCATACTCCCAGAGTCATTTGGGCTTTCCAGAAAAGACTTCACCCAACTCCCACTGAGAAGACCCAGTGTTGTTAGGGCCAAGGAAAGGGAAGAGAACTTGGATCTCTCTAGATCTGGGCAGCTATTCTAGAACTGGTGTCTGCCACAACTTGCAAAGTTGAACAACTCAGCCTCGTGCAGAGTGGACGATGCAGGTGCCCTCTGGCTGTTAGGCTGGAGGCTGCGGCCGCACTGTCCAGTCGAGCCTGCCCTTGGCCTTCAGCTCTGTTTCCACCTGCACTCCTAGGCCCTCTTTGAATCATCCAACACACACCCTGAGCCTTTCCTGCCTCTTTGACCCCCATGAGTTCCTTTCTTCTCTCTCTTTTTTTTTTTTTGCCACTTGTGGGGCCTGAACTCTGGGCCTGGGCGCTGTCCCTCAGCTCTTCAGCTCAAGCCTAGCACTCTACCACTTGAGCCACAGCGCCACTTCCGGCTTTTT